TCATTCCCCTCTATTCAACATTGGTGAGGCCTCATCTGGAGTACTGTGTCCAGTTTTGGGCCCCACACTACAAGAAGGATGTGGAAAAATTGGAAAAAGTCCAGCGGAGGGGCAACAAAAATGATTAGGGGTCTGGAGCACATGACTTATGAGGAGAGGCTGAGGGAACTGGGATTGTTTAGTCTGCAGAAGAGAAGAATGAGGGGGGATTTGATAGCTGCTTTCAACTACCTGAAAGGGGGTTCCAAAGAGGATGGATCTAGACTGTTCTCAGTGATGACAGAACAAGGAGTACCTGTACCTGATGACAGAACAAGGAGTAATGGTCTCAAGTTGCAGTGAGGGAGGTTTAGGTTGGATATTAGGAAAAACATTTTCACTAGGAGGGTGGTGAAGTAACCAAATCCTAATTAATGATTCTATAACATAAAGTGAACCAGGCATCAAACTTTTTAAGAGTATATTATTGAAGACTCACGTTTGAGGATTACTGCTAGTTGCTTGACCTGGGTTCTCTCTCTAACCCACAGCATCATACAGCAACTCAGCATCAGTCTCTGTGGAAAAGATTTCAAATGGGTAAATACTGAGATCCCAGCGATTAGATAAAAGTCACCTTTCACCACCTCTCCATATGCATCCTGTGCCCATTCAAATCAATAGAAAAAGTCCCATCAGTTTTAATGGTACAGTTTAAAAGAATGGGGCCAGATCCTGTAAAGCACGCCTGCATGGAACCCCATTAGCTCAGTGAGATTTCCACGCACCTGTGATTCAGGTCCTTTGTGTTTACTGAAATCACAAAGAATGGATAAGACTGCAAATGGCAATGGTATCATAAGCAATATTACTTTGATCTCAATTCTTTTCAGAGGATATTAAATGCTTCATAAAGTAGTACATTCTATGTCAAATTGTCCATGTATAATTCAGTAACTGTACAGTTCTTCACAGCAAAAACATTAAAATGATGAATCCCAGAATTGCGAAATCAATACAAAATCTTTTCAAATATTACATGAAGTTGATACATTAAAGGAATTCTGGTTGAATTTAATAATGTATCAGCATTACAGTAAGTGCCTGTAGTGCCAACATACATATGTCTAGATGGCAACTGACAATTACTGTAATATAACGTACTGTTTAAATTAAGAATATATGCATTATGCACATAGACTGAATCACCTTGGTAATAAAAGGAAACATTTATGAACCATTCAAAGAGTGATACACTTAAGCCCAGAAATTTAGTATTTAGTTAATTCCAAAGTGACTTAGTTTCATTATCTATTCCCAATGGACAGAACAAGCTAATCTATCATTCATAAAAAGTATCCAGTAGTGAAACAGACTATAGCCCAGATCATTAACAGTATTTAGGCTACTAAATTCCATTGAAATCAATGAGAGTTATGTGCCTAAATACCTTTCAGGATCTGGACCTACGTACTTGTTTCACAGCCCTGTGTACCCTCACATTTGCTGATGAAGTCAACTGGAGTTGAGGATGATCAGGACCCTACTGGACTGAGGCCAGAGTTGGATTCTGTCAAAGGTAGACTGTAGTTTTCCACTTACCTGAAACCATTTCTCTATACAACACTGGAGGAACACAAAGATCTTAAACTTGATCTTGAACTTTACATTGATTTAATCTCTATTAGATAAAGTTTGACAACACATTTCACATACTACCTATACATACATGGTCCAGCAGACCAGGTCTCTCAAATGAGACACTACAATACCCATTAGAGGAACTGGATGTTTGCCTTGGGGCATCGAAATATAATGAGCTAAAAATGTATCCATTCTCCAAACTGTGTTAATCTAATTTCATTTAATAACTGGATGGAAATACCCTTTTCTCTAAAACAGTAGAGTTGACTACTCTTCATGCCATTTTGTAGTAGATATTACTGGTTTGGGTTTGTAGGTTTTTTTTTTTTTTAAACCAAACAATTAACCATACTGACATTTTTGTGGTTCATGTTTATTCTGCACACATTACAAAATCCTTCTCTATGCTTATGGCAAAGCTGACAAGTTCATCAGAAAGGTACTGCCTTACAGAACTAGCTATTAAATTCTTCAAGCAAGCAAATAATAACTGAGCAGACACACAAAAATGATAGGAAGATTAATAAGTAACTGCTGACTTAAAAGCTTTTCATCAGTTGTAGGCTGAGGGAAAACAAAGCAGGCAATAACTACCTGAGTATAATGAATTGGGTGCTGAGGGAGTCAAGATGACAAAACAGAATGTTCCTTTTATTGAAAAGTCTAAACAAAATCAGATACAAATTTAGCAATTGGGCAGAATCTAAACTGCTAAAATACATATGGTCATCCTTTGCCAAGAGATAGTAGAAGTCAGGGCCTTTCAGGTTGAGCAACACTGGGGCTGGGTATTTTCTTAGTGCAACTTATTTATTTACACTCTATACAGCAATCCGGGAATAGAGGTAAGTCACAAAAGCATGCAGGCAAATCCTCTCTTCAGTAATTTCAGCCAAAACACCAATGCCTGGTTCTCATGGAGTAATTCTGTCCTCATAATTAACTCTGGATAGGGAGATTAAGGCAGTGTGTAAACTCCCATGATTCTTTCAACAGCTTCCCACCTTCCCCATAAAGAAACTACATTACAAAACTAACTACAATACAAAGATTTCTTCAGAGACTGAACAGTGCTCACAAAGTAAGAAAAACAACTTGTAAAACTATGTGTAACAACATCATCTAGTGCCTTCTACCATAATAGCAAACGTGTAGGTTAAAAAGTTTTGATTGAAATTGTTTTTCAAGCAATAAGGACAGTGGGCAAAATTTTCAAACCTGGATGCCTAAATTAGGGCATGGCTACACTTGCAGATGTAGAGTGCTGTGAGTTAAACCAGCCCTCGGAGAGCGCAGTAGGGAAAGTGCTGCAGTCTGTCCACACTGTCAGATTCAAGCGCACTGGTGTGGCCACATTAGCCGCTCTTGCAATGGCCTCAGAGAGCAGTGCATTGTGGTAGCTATCCCAGCATGCAGGTGGCTGCAACGTGCTTTTCAAATGGGGGGATAGGGTGGAGTGTAACGGGGAGTGTGTATGTGGGGGGAGAGTGGGTTTTTGGGGGGCTGAGAGCATGTCAGCATGCTGTCTTGTAGGTTCAGACAGCAGCAGATCCCCCCTCCCCCCACCTCTCTCTCTCACACACAGCATTCCACAGTAATGGTTTGCTTTGTCCCGGAGCAGATAAGCATGCTGGCTTTCAGAAACGGAGCTTTGAAAGGGGATATCCGCATTTCTGCAGCGATTCCAAACAATGACAAGAGTGGCCACTTGACTTAAGGGGATTATGGGACGTTTCTGGAGGCCGATCAGAGTGCAGTAATGCAACACCTCGTTCACACTGACGCCCGGGCGTTTCAGCCGAGGCGCACCAAGCGTTAAGCTTCTCGTGAAGGTGGATTACCAGGAGCACTCCAGCTGCAGAGTCCAGGCGCTTTAAGTGCCTTGCCAGTGTGGACGGGTCGTGAGTTAGGGCACCCGGGGCTGCTTTAATGCGCTGTAACTTGCAAGTGTAGCCATGCCCTCAGGTCCTACATCCTGATCAGTAGTGGCCTGGTTTTCTTTTGAAGTCAATGGGACTTGCAGGTGGGCTCAGCAATTCTGAAAATCAGGCCACTCCTGTTTAGCTTTCTAGATATGGATTTTGAAACCTAACTTATGCATGCAGGTTTGAAAATGTTGAGCAGTATCAAAGCATCTCTGGCTGAGGTAGCATAAAGACCTTAAGATAATGAAAACAGAGATTCAGCCAAGTAGGTGATCAAACCATTTGATCTGGATGCAAAACAAGCGCTCAGCAATAAAATGGGGAGCCAGGCCCATCCTTCACATTATTTACATGTGAATTCCTAGTTCACTAGTCTTCTATAGACCTTGATATAAATCTTCTAAATGAAAGTGAGCTTGGGCATTTATATGATTCTGCCATTTGTTTCAGATGGGGTAGAGTTCTGCTGAACAAATGGAATGTACTGAAGAGAGACATGGAATTTGAGATTTAAGTTCACTGGCAGAATTCCATGGGGAAGATCAGACAGCACCTGCTCAAACTACAGCATTATCACCATCAGGTTTCATAAGCAATAAGTTCACTTATGAATTTAAGGTAAATTATGATTCCTGTAAACTACAATTTCTATTCTGTCAATCTCATAGTAATGATTTTAAAGCAGACTATATCGTCAGTCATTTTAAAAAATACCAATGCTATTTTATTCATATAAAATCCTTTTAATAAAAACACAGCAAACAACCTTGTAATTCACTATTCAATGAGTAAAACTGCACTTGTGCACAGACTGTGTTGGTCCTCTGCACAACAAAAGTCCCACTTAACCCCTATTTAAATGCACAGGTCTTGCATTTGTATTGGTCCTCTGCACCAAGGTGATTTTCACTCTAAGCCAGATACACTACAGATACACTACTATAGAAGTGGGACTATCCCCACTTCTCAGCAAAGATTTAATAGCAGAGTGGTATGGTTAGGTCTCTTAATAATACAGTTTCAGGACTTTTAGAAAATATACTAGAGTATGTTTACTAGTATTCTGTGAAGAGTTATCAAAAGTAATTAAAACTCCATTTGTTAAATGACTAAAGAAAGTACACTTTGAGATGCCTAATCTATGTTTTTTAATTGTATTTGATTACTAATTTGCAAATTTGCAAAATTACATCCTTAGCAATTGGTTTTCGAGTTATTCATCCAATTTAGTGAGACTCTACTGAAGAGTCAGGTTTGATGCAATGCAATCTTAAAAGTCAAAGCTTAAGTCTCATCTAGAAAAAGACAATAGCATAAAACACGATACACAAATATAGTTGTACAGTTTAAGATTCTTAGTCAGTACGAAAACATAAGAGGACTCTGTCCCAGTCATATTTAAATTGATATGAACTGATGACAGGCCCTTTAGACTCAGGACTGGCAAATTGGCTAAAAAGGTGGAAGTGTACTGTTGTAAAGAGAGGCATTATTAGGGAAGCAGTAGACCATTTCTTTTCCATGGCTACATTCTTGGGGATGCAAGATAGTCATAACAAATCCAACTGTCATCACTAACACACCAACAGTAAGAATCAGGCCGGATATGAGGTTATCTGAATGGTTCCAGCGCTCTTCAGACAGCTTCAGATAACATGCTGTTGGGATGATAAAAACAAGTGGAGTAGCACTGAGAATCCCCTGGTAGGAGGAAACAAAAAAAACCCATGAGCACATATATTCACATCTCCAGCACAAAACAAACATTTATAATTAGTTTATAGTTAACCGGTAATTACATCTGTGAAAAAGTTTCCTATGAGAAGAAACTAGAGTAATGGCTTTTCTTCTGGGTGGTTTCAATCACCAAAACCCAAATCGATTGCAAAGGAGTCTGCACTATAATTTGAAATGTCTCAGGATGAAGAAAACAGTTACAACATATTCATTTTACTGTAACAGGGTGAAATTTTACCCTGCATGAACTTGCTTTCTATTAAGCCAAAATCACATGAAAAATCTGAGCTCCAGAAGTACAGTAAATCCCACATTTTGAATAGCTTTGAAATATTTTGTCATGTGAAATATTTAGGAACAATTCCTGATAAGGTTTTAGAAGAAATGTAAAGGGGCAGTATTATTCATTAATCCTTCTTTCATGCACTATCACAAAGCACCTACTTGGATTTCCTTAAAGTTTTTACCTTTCAGTAAAACAAAGAAAAGCTTCCTGTGCATGATAAACATCAATGCAGCAGTTTAACTTGCTCCTAGCAGCTGCTCAGAACAATATTGTCAAGCAATGCCTCCAAACATAGACCCTTAGTCAGGAAAGCATCCCTGTTCAGGACAACACTTACACATGTGCTGAACTTTTAAGGGAACTAACTACAAGTCCAGCACATACTTAAGTGCTGTCCTGGGTAGGGATGGAGTTAAGCATGTGCTGAAGTATTTTCTTAAGTAAGCACCAGTGCAGGCTATAATATTGTTGCAGCCATGTTTCATTTGCCATCAGAGAGCTCTGCAATTCTGTGCATGATGTTGGAACTTGCCACCCTCTTACACACGCTTTATGAGTAGTCTGCATTAATTTCAGTTAAGAGTATCCATAAATTTGTTGATTAGAGAGACTGCAGGCGGTATAGCAATCCATACGTTAACGTGTCTTTGTTTCATTCATCTGTATTTTCTTGTTACTTATACTGTCATGCTGGGAAGTGTTATTGGCAGTCATCAGTTACAGACCTGGTAGAAGTCAATGGGTGTACTATGCACCCTTCATTCAGGCTACATGATGGAGCAATTAAATGGCCCTTTTGCTTAGTTATAGCTGAAACAACAGAAGCAACTGCCCAAGTCATGGTCAACCATGGCAAGACCTGGAAGCTAAGCCATGTGGCCCAAGGGTTTTCCCTAGAGTCTGACTGCAAACACAGGGAATTGATTTATTGGCAGCTGTATCTGTGTATGGATTAAAAGAAGCAGTGGTGATCATAGTGCTTGGGAGGAAACCAAGAGACAGAAATTCTTTTAGGCATAATACTCAAAGAGAAGGCACACTGGGCTTTCTGAACAAGGAAACTGCCTCCTGTTTGTTTCTACTATGTTCAGGGAAACAGGACTTTGTGTACATTTTTGTAAATAAACATGATTACATCAAAGAGATACCAGACTCATCTCCTCAGCTTCTTCTCCCAATGGAAACAACCTGGGAAGGACTCAAAAATTGGTTAACTGCTTGGGCTAAAAGGGACAATATTATTATATTTATGGAATGCTTACTTATATGGAAGATTATTTAAAAAGAAAACACTTACGTAGACAATTACACATAAAAATCATACCTATTTACTAATTTTGGCAAGAGAGTGGAACTGACATTCCCTGGCAGTGCCTCAATAATATATTAATTTAGTGTAATAAAATAGTACTACATCAGGTTAATTATACAAGAGATAAGTCTTTTTGTAACAATAAAGAAAATCTATAATAAGAAAATTCTGTTTGTGAATTATACACATGTATGAATTTCATACACACAACTTAAAAATAGAGAGAGCTGCTGGAAAGAAAGTTGCCAACAGATGCCAAACAAGCAGTATTGGGGGAAATGCCAAAGGGAACATCGAGCATAGCTAAACCAAGCCAAGATGCATTCTGTTTATTTTAAGCTATTTATAATTTGGAAAGGATTAATTGGAAAGAAACTATGCAGGTAACAATGATTTGAGAGGAGGCCAGTCAGGTAGTTTATCTGGATAGCAGAATCAGATCTCCAGTATCAGTGTGAGCACAAGCAGCTAATGTGGCTGTTATAAAGCCTCTTCTCATTGCTCAGGTGGAAATTAAACTGTAATGCAGAGAACATGTTCCTCACCAAGGTCCTAATCCTTCAAGCTGTTACTTGTGGGAAGATCCTTGTACCTGTGGTGAGACCAACTCACTTCCTTCTCGTTCACTGATTTCAATAGAGCTTGCAGAATCAGGTCCTAGGATTCTCAACTAAGTGAAATGAACAGCAACATAGAGAGCCATTTTTAGGTTCCTCTTATGTATCAGAAGCAGTGGCTCTTATTACAGGGATCTCTCAAACCCCCTGCTATTACACCCTGAAGTGTGACATACCCATACCTACTATATTATTCATAGATTCCAAGGCCACAAGGGGCCATTGCGATAATCTAGTCTGACCTCCAGTATAACACATGCCGGAGATCTTCCCTAAAATAATTCCTAATGCGTATCTTTTAGTAAAACATCCACTTGATTTTAAAATTGTCAGCGATGTAGACTCCATCACAACCCTTGGCAAATTGTTCCAAAGGTTGGTTACTCTCATTGTTAAAAATGTACACCTTATTTCCAGACTGATTTTGTCTAGCTTCAACTTCCAGCTGTTGGATCATGTTATATCTTTCTCTGCTAAATTTAAGAGCTCATTATTAAATATTTTTTCCCTTGCAGGTACTTATAGTCTGTAATCTAGTCACGCCTTAATCTTCTCTTCGTTAAGCTAAATAGATAGACTCAAGGAGCTCAGTTGCTATAAGGCATGTTTTATTATAAATATCTGGACTGAAACTGAAGCTAGAGGACTGGTTAAAAACCAGAGAGTTACCATAAATTTAGACTGGCTAATAACACAGGCATGTTTTGATGAGCTATGTAGTCTGCTTCCTCTATTATTACTATTGCAGTTTGGCTAACAATCTACATTCACATACAAGACTCCACTAGGTGGAAATGTTTTTACCAGAAAAACCAGTTTTCAGACTGTAACCAGTGGCCCCTCCTGGACACTGCCTTGTGGACTCAGCACAGCCCTACAAGTGGCACATTTCCTCAGTTTCCCTTTTGAGTCCCCAGTAACTCCATGCAAGCTTATCTTCTAGTCCCAAACAATTTCTTTACAAACATGGTGTAAGTACTCCATAATATATCCCAAAACATAGTCCATATCACCCCAGTGTAAATAATACTCCCCTTCTTTCTGTGTGCAACCCTGTTCCTTCCAGTGGGGACTCCCACAGCCTCTCTGCCAGGAGTATTCTCCTTTTACCGTTTCGCTGGTCCAGCTCTCCAGCAAGGAGATGCCAGTGGGTAAGCCCCTCCACTGCTCTCCCTTCTTTCAGCCTTCTCTGGCCCTTGGCTCTGGTTTAGGGTCATCAGGCAACTCCTTCTGCTGCTGCTGCTGCTCCTCCTCCTCCTGCTTTCAGCCATCTGGCCCTAGCTCTTTGGCTTAGAAACACCAGCCAGCAAATCCCTCTTGCTGCTCTCCTACCTTTAGCCTTCTCCCAGGAAGTACCTTCTTTCTTTGGCAGTTCTCTTCTCCTACCTCACTCAGTCTGCTCTGATTCTCACTAGATCTCACCAGGCCTCTGATTGCTCCCCAAATGCTGCCCTGCCGTCTTAACTGGCCCATCTGGGAACACTTGGCCTGGAACAGGAGTGCTGAGGCCAGTTTCACTCAATGGGCCAGCTACTCCGTTACACATTCTTTAACACTTTGTGTTGTGTAAGTATTAAAGACAAGAAAAACCTTAGTATCTGTCTTTAAACTGAATCCATGGTTTTGGAGCCTCTGCCTTCAATTTGAGGCAGTATCAGAGTCTTAGGGATGACACTTTGCAAGAGATATATTTTCCCTCCTATGAGGTCATTTTTGGATCCCCCACTCTGGCCTTCCCATAGTGAAGACATTGTTGGTGGCTCAAGTGCAAAGGAAAGTCCAATAGCAGTGGAAGAAATTGGTTGCAACCGCCCTTCTGCCATGAGCTTGACAGGAATCTAGGCTCAAAAGTCAGCAGCACTACCTGGGGAAGGGCCATGGCTAGAGGATGTAGTGACTCAATATGAGATACCTGTAATACTGCAGTAACTCTAATTATTTCCTAACAACAAGTGTCAAGATTTTAACAGGTCCCATTATACTCCACTGTCTTATCTAACCTGTACTTAACTACTGATAGTCATGGTCCATAGCCATCAGCCACATCCTTTGATAAGTCTATTCCATTTACTCTTGAAGGTTATGAAAGTCCTCTGACTATCCAGCCTGAACTTTTCTTCCTTAGCTTCAGGACATTGTTCTTTCATCTTATCTTCTGAGGAGGCAAATAATTCCTTTCCTTCTGTGACACTGTTAACACTATACTATGTTACATTTAAAAGAATACTGTAGTTTTTCAGAATTCCATTTATATTAAAGAGTGTTAGTAAATAATGGAGCATTAGGTGCACTTACGTTCAGCTCTAAAACTATTCCAAGGCAATCATACACTAAAGATATGCTTGTGGCTACAGCAACAACAATTACTGTCACAGCAACATGGAGAATGGTGGTAAGGGTCCCACTGAAAAACACATTGGCAATTACCTGAAATGAAAACACAGTTTGTAACTTTACTTTGGCCAATTATTTATTTTAACAAGCTGCATGTTTTAAATTCTATATGCTATGATTTATAATGCAAATGAAAGGAGCGGGTGAGAATGTTATGGCTCTCAACTATCTCAAATTCTTGACTTCAGTGAGAGGCATCCCTCCTTTTCCAGAAATTACTTCATATTAAAATTATGTAAAAACCCCCAACATTTGACTTTACTATATTTTCAGGACATAGTGGCACTCTTCTCATTCACCCGATAAACACAGTGAAACCTTCTTACCATGAAGTCATTTATTAAAAGAAAAGATTTCTTACAGATTTCCCATTAATCGATTACAGTACAGTGAAACACTCCAGGACTTTCCCTCTACTTCACTATAAATCCCCTGCCCCAATCAGTTACAACCACCTCCTGCATACTATACTGTGTGAGTCGCCATACTGGAGTTCACTACATGCCAGTTCCATTACTCCACACTGAGAATTTAAGCAACAGTATTCAAGAAAACACTATTAAGTTTATGAAATCACAAGAAAAAGCCCACTAAATGCTATAGCTAGCATGCACCAGACCATTAGGTATTGATATTTACATAAGATTAGTCAGTAATTGCAATTAGGACAGATCTCACCATATATTTTACAGATTAAGCATATGATTAAAAACATCATGGAAAAAGAGATAAATGTCTCACTTCTCTAGTCACAAAACATTCAATGGGGAAAGTCAGGATTATAGTGACTCCATAGCAAAACCTTCCAAATGTAGCAAGAGCATCGTCTCTGCAATAGTTTTCAAATATATCTCCTAGAGAACAGTGAAAAATGAAATTATTTTCAAATTAATGACAACTGTGGCTAATTATTAGCTGACATTTACACTAATGCAGATAGAGAGATAAGTCACCAGAATAATTGTATACAAAAACTTGAGATTTTCTGACCCACTTTTGGAGACATAAATCAGAAAATGATGATTAAATAATCACAAATTACATTCAAAGTTAACTTTCACCACCCCGATAGTAACAGCATTTTCTATTATTTCTTGTGTTCTCAAGATCATTTCCACTTGAGTATTTACTTATCTATCTATCTATCATACACATATTACAGGGGTAAGCCTATTGTCATCCTATTTTTTGCAGCTTTCTTTTTGAGATTACTTTGTAATGGTGCTTCTGGTGTTTGTTTTTTTAATCGGTATGTGACACAGTTTTAGAAAGAAAAACATTTGGTTAAAACAAACAGATTTCCTTTTTGTTATTCTTAGGACAAGAACAATCACATAAGGAAGACTAGATGGGTACAGCTAGAGACCTGAATTTCCTGTGTATCATATTACAGGATCTAATCATAGCTGCAACACTATACTGGGGGATTTCAAACCTTCAAAACCCTATGTAAACATATGGATTATTAACTGGTAATTCCTTTTGCATCAGTTTACTATTATACTGCTATACAATTCAAGTAAATACCTCACCTAGTGATTATAGCAAAGGACCTCTGTGGAAAGGTGACCATGGGATCTAGTTCAGGCTGAATGACTAACTTACCATGGAACATGACCAAATCTTAAGACTATACCTAGATGGCCTACCAGGTCATTTAATATAGTGTCTAGTATATATATACACACAAAAAATAGGAAGGTATGATTTTCCCAGTCCTGAAATATATTTTTAGTCATTCTGTACTCAGCCAGTCCAGCTAGAAAGATGGGTATAAGCAATGACTGGAGTAGGTTGCTTTCCTGGATAAAAAAATGGGGGCGGGAGGAGGAGGGAAGGGAGTGAAAATCCCCTACTCCAAGCACAGCTAAATGCTGCTGTCTGCCACAAAAAGATGAGGTGATAAACCTCTTACAGCTTTAAACTGGACTGTAAAAGAATTGTGAAACAACTGAAGAAATGTCTCTAAAATTGTTTGACTGACTTGAGAAACAATGATGTATTTAACAAATTTCTTCCTCCCTTAACGCTTACCTCCCTCTTCCCGCTCATTCCCAAAGACAGAAAGAGAGTAAAATCTGTTACAAAGACAGTGAGAACCCTATGGTACATTTCTGACATTAATAATCTAGGCTGCAGTTTCAAAGAAAGTGCATACCTGAGTTGTGCATATGAAAAATGTAACTCTGTTTAGATAGAGCAGGGGTTGGCAACGTTCAGGGTAAGCACCCTGGCAGGCCGGGCCAGTTTATTTACCTGCTGACATGGCAGGTTCGGCCGATCGCGGTCCCCACTGGCCGCGGTTCGCTGTCCCGGGCCAATGGAGGCGGCAGGAAGCCGCAGCCAGCACATCCCTCGGCCCGCGCCGCTTCCCGCCGCCCCCATTGGCCCGGGACGGTGAACCGCGGCCAGTGGGGGCCGCGATCGGCCGAACCTGCCGCGTCAGCAGGTAAATAAACTGGCCCGGCCCGCTAGGGTGCTTACCCTGGCGAGCCGCGTGCCGAACGTTGCCGACCCCTGAGATAGCGGATCCTCAAGGCAAAAGGCTGTATGTTTTTAGGAATACTAGACCGAAAGTTGCTCCCCACACACACACCACCCTCACTCTCCCCTCACTGCTAGAAGAGAAGCTGACTTTTCCCCCCTCACGCTCTCAGAATGTCTCTTTTCCCTCTCAGCAACAGGAAATGAGTTTTTCCCCCATCAGCTGCTCGATTCTTCCAGAGAGATTTGTGTGTGTCAGTCATACCAGTCAGTGGCAGCCTAGCCACCTGCACTCCAGGGCAATTTCATCCTGAAGGAGTGCAGGTGATGGAAGTATCATTGCTCCACTCTGATAAGATTCTGCTGGGCACATGGGAAACAGCTCTAAGTTAGCCACTATAAGAGCACTGCCAGCACAGTGTGTTGAGGGGATGTGTGGAAACTATTTAAGCTTTTATATGTACTCATCATATTTCCCCATCCACTCTGGCCATGCTCTACCCCTGGCAGTGCTGTTTATTTTTGTGCTTTGCTAAACCCATGCAATCCTTCCAACAGAGGGAAGCAGTTTTGTGCTAATGTATCTCCTTGATGTGGGCTTTCCACCATCAGGGCTCTGCTCCTGAGTCTACAGTATCTTCCACAGCATAGACCCTGGGCTGGTTTCTCACCCCACTCCTATATTTTTTGACTACTAGGTAAGAAGGGTAAATCCCAGACATTCCTTTTCAAGTATAACTAAAAAGACAATGATCAGCTTGGCATTTCCTCCTCTCTCTACCCTGCAGGGAGTTAACTGAACTCAAACAAAAAGGGTGGAAAGTGTCAGAAGGCCAAGATAAGCCTTAAAATAGATGTGTAGAGTATCTTACCTTCTGTGTAGCCGGTAAATGTCACATATCCACATACAGCAAACACCACACTGATAAACAGAGCGAGTGAGACAGACACATGAGTGATGCGAGACCAGTTACTCAGAGTGGGTTCTTCCAAAGAGCCATAGATTAAAAAGCTGTTATGATGGCAAATGAATGCTGAAACACACATGGCAATTAAAAAAACAACAACATTTCATTAAAAATAAAAATTTTGTACCAAGCTAAGCTAGTGTACTCCAGGGCAGTGGAGTTTAAATCAATTCATTATTACAAATACAAATGAAGGGCGCAGTACATAGCAAACATCAAACAGCTTCACATTTTGGATATTTATCTCATTCTACGTGGGTCTCCACCTTCCACTCAGCCCATATGATTCTGATTTCTCATCCCCAACAATGCCACCTGGTTCTCCCCTACCAACGCCAGACACAGCTTCCTGCTCACAATTCCACTTCAATCTCCAGTGCCTCCTTCTGGTGCGCCCCTCAGGTTTTATACCATGATCCAGTCTGGGGCTTCTCTGTTAACTATGCCCCAGAATGTACAGATGAAAAACTCCAGAGGATGTGACATTTCCCACTCTGGGACGATAGGCATGTTGTGCAGTAACAAGCAATCGGAAGACCTCAGAGTACCAGCACACTAGAGCCTACAGAGGGATATCAGAACAGTGAGCGTAGAAGTTAGAGTGGGAACTATGCATATGAGAGGAGATTTATCCAAACCTGAATAAAGGTTTAATTCTGGCTAATGGGAAAAGATTAGGGCTAGCTCTAATTTTGCCTAAACCAGCTTAACACTAAGGTAAAAACTTAAAAGGAAAATGCGTATGCCATGCAGGTCCAGACATAAAGTAAAATTCTTTCAACCATTAGGGCTGACTGCAGATTGAGAAGAGATGTTCAGACACACACACACTTACCAAATGACATCACCCCAATGGCTTGTATTGCATTAGACTTTGCAAATATCCAGGCATTCTCTGTTTTGGGTCTAAAACAGAAATTTGTTTTAATCGAATGTCCCCTATAGGTGATCAATGATTAGAATTATTTTAAAATACTACATATAACACAGTAAGGCTAGGCAGACCCTTCCGAAAAGAACTCCTCTGCACATTAGATCATGATGCTTTGGTAATAAAATGCTTGTCATTCAGAGATATCCTTTTTCCCCCTTGTATTCATAAAAATATCATTTTCTGGGAGTGCTTCTTATGGCAATGTGTCAGCACTTTTAATGAATAGTTCTGGTATTGTAACTTAAAAAAAAAAAAAAAAAGATTATCACATCCAAACACTCTGGAAATGGCAATCAGGACAGTGAAGGCCATGGTGCTGACCCCATGTGGGGTCAGGTTAGCCAAATAACACTGTAGATCTCTACTCTGAATATTAAGGGACAGATTTTTCCTCTAGATCTGCACATGTAGATCCTGAGGATTTCAATGGGAGCTCCACATTTGTTCCTAGGGCTTTAGTCCAAGTGTGACAAAATTCTGCCCTCATTCACATCTGTGCAACCCCACTGTCCCAAATAGGTCTGTTCTTCAGGGAATGATATTCCCTCTGGTAGGGAGGATCTTGCACATCCCCAGAGCCCTGTGGTAAGAAACAAATTTAAGGAAGTACAACTAGAACAGTCCTGCATATGGAGGAGTTTAGGGTAGGATAAGGAAGGAGCCAAGGGATTCTGTATTATGTGGCTCCAATGACTATCAACCCCCCACAAGTTGTGTGGAAGAACTGCAGTGACTGTATGCCAAAGCAGCAGTGAGCTGGGACAAAGGACAACTGCTGTAGCCCTGAGCCCTGGTCATAGGTTGGTAGATTTTGGAGGATTCCCCCCCTCCCCCTATACACCACCCCTTATCCCCTGAATTTACTCAGGTTTTATACAGAGGAAATAAATTTCATTCTAGGGGCTTGTCAATACATGAGATTTTTCCAGATATACTTTCATAGTTAAACTGCAATAGCTCGATTGATATAACTCTCCATGTGAACACACTTATTCAGGAATAAGAGTACCTTTTTTCAGTTTAGCTTGAACTGCTTCCAAAGCAACATAAGCTAAACAAAAAAAAATGCACTCTTTTATTCTGATAGAAGTTTCTGCACAGGGAGTTACACCAATAGAACTATAGCAGCTTAAATTCACCTTACGAATAAGTCCCTGTGGAGGCAAGCCCAAAGTGTATGTACTGAAATAATCAACAGTCAAACAACAGTTTCCACTACATGAATTCATGTCTTACTGTTGTCACTGGGCTGCAGTTACCACTTTGATTTATGTATTTTTTAAATTGTGCATAATTTTATCATCTTATTATATAGAGAGTCTTGACAGTCTAAACTGCTGTCAATCTCCATTTTAAAATATACTCAGGGAATGACGGCAGAATGCAATTTAGATTAAGGCCCAGAAACGAAAGTTTGCAACAATCTTTGTTAAATCAGATCCAGAGTTTGATACATGAAATTCCATCCTGTAAAACGAATTTAGCCGCCCCATATATGTTGATGCACACTCTGGGGAAACGGAGAAGCAAGAACATCCTTTTTCTAAGATGCAATCTGTTCACATACCAGATGGAAGCTGTATACCAACTGAGAACTTCTTTTACAGAAGTTTTACAGAATAGACAAAATGGCATTACAGTGGAGAATGCTGCCATACAGCTAGCTGCTGCTAATTTTGCTTGCTTCAATTTCCACTTTGTTTTGAGGGGAAGCTGCTGCCACCTGCTGCCTCAGCTGCTGTACTCTTCCTTCACGGCAAAACAGCATGTCACAACCATCACACCACCTCTGTCTTTCTCTCCCCCTCTCTGTTACTAAGTCAGCTCTTTCAAGCAGCACTTTCCTTGGCAGGTGTTACTTTAGATATTATTGCTGCCAAACTTTTAAACCCTTTCCAAACAGATTTATTTATTTATTTTTGTTCATTCTCTCCCCCCATTCATTATCTTCCCATTTCTTGAGAGGTGTCAGGCTTTCCCTAAGAACAGATTTTAATAACAGCAATGACCTGATTATTCCAGCCTCCATCTATAAAAATGCTGGGGTTATTTTATAAATTATGTTCCTTTACTATTAAATTAATATCAACCAAATAGTAAAATCTTCATTTTCCATTTTAAAAATACGGCTTATTAGATCCAGATAAATATTTGGCCTTGATTCAGAAAAGTATTCCTATTCATGGCAGCACTTAAACTTGAAGTGAAAGGGTTTTAAGCATGTGCTTAACTGTAAGTATATGCTGAAATGCTGTTCTCTATCAAGACCTATATAAATATTTTATTAGAACTGGTTCAAGCCGAATTCTTGGTTCACAGGGACAGCGTATGGTCTTTACTACAGTAATGGGTTTTTTTAAGGATTTCAGATTATTTTTTCAGCTGAGAACTGGGAAGAGGAAGAACAGATGAGGTTGAGAGAAAAAGGAAGTTCCGTTGAAGAAGAGGCTAAGCATATTCCAGCCTTTATATCCTTGTTTATATTAGCTTGTTTGGGGAAATCTCCCCCAGCTTTACTACTGCCTGCTCTAAGTCGGGTGAGATAACATAATAGCAAAAGCACCAGTGCTCTATCTACATTTGTGCTTCCACAACTCCTACCACTACTGGGGCTGCACTGCTCATAAAGGAATGGCAAGACATTAGCCTGAGGAAGACATAGCTTAAGTGAGCAATAATCTATTATAAAAATAAGCAGATAGTATACATAAGAGAAATAAAGAGATGGCTTTCAAATGCAAACAAATAAATGTTTTTAATGATATGAGCAGTACTGAGTTATGAGGCCTATTGGTATAATTCAAGGACTATATTAAGATCATGCCTGTAAACAAGAACACTGAGACCAAAAATCAAAGAGCGAAAATTGGTATGTCAGAAACCAGGGCATGGTAGACAAAATCATGAGGGAATGGGCTCACCCACTACTCCCTTTTTGATTCCTTAAAGAAAGACATAGGGAGAAAAACTGTCTACTAGAGCAGTCGTTCTCAACTCGAGATCCGGGGCCCACAACCAGGTTTCAAGGGGTCTGCTAAGCAGAGCCAGCGTTAGACTCACTGGGGCCCAGGAAAGAATGCCAAAGCCCCACTGCATGGGTCTGAAGCCCCAGGCCCTGAGCCCTGCCACCCAGGGCTGAAGCTGAAGCCTGAGCAATGTAGCTTTGCAGGGGCCCCTGTGCGTAGGACCCCAGGCAACTGCTCTGCTTGCTACCCCCGGCTTTTATACGCAGAAAATCAGTTATTGTGGCACAGGTGGGCCGGGGAGTTTTTATAGCTTGTTGGGGCGGGGAGGCGTGTCTCATAAAGAAGCAAGATTATGAGTGTCTCATAAAGAAAAAGGTTGAGAATCTCTGTACTAGAGCAAGCTTCATCATCATGGCTTCCAGACCTTCCATCTCCTGGGACCCCAGGCCTTTCTCATTCTGATCCTGAGAGATGTCCTGACCAGACCGGGACAGAGAGAGAGACCCAGGTGACACCGCCACCTCTACCGGCTTCATCAGAATCCCACACACCACCTGGGATGTGAGACTTTGGTTCTCTCTCTCTCTTCCCTCCCCCCCCCCACCACCATTTCCTTTTCCTTCCCCATCTTATTTTATTTCTTTCCAATCTCTCTCCTTTTGCCTTCTTTTTAATGAAAGTCTGCCTGAGGCGGCCAAGACTGCATATTCTTCAATACTACTGTAAGCCTGTGACCAGAAATGCAGCTAAAAGAAATGGCCTGTAACAGCCCGATGCTGGTATAAATTTGCCAGGTTTCACAGTAGCTGATAAGACTGTGTGTTGTGCCTGCGTTTTTCTAGCAGTCATATTGCAAGTGAAAGTCAATATCAGAGACAGAAGCTGCATTTTCTATCTTTGCCGTTCTGTTCTCTCCCCTCTTGCATGTGTTCATCTTGTTTTGTCTTTTAGGAAATGGAATCAGACTTTAACAGCAGCAGCAACTACAGCAGCTCCAGCCTATCTCAACTAACTTACTTCCTGCCCCCCCAAAAGGACACGTATTACCATCTTTAATACCATCTAAGACATTGTCAATTGAGGGTTTTTTCCTTTTAAAAACTCTCTCCAGCTAAAGGTTAAAGGGCTGTTCTTAAAATGAAGGCCTTATTTAATACTTTACATTTCAAATGCTCTAACTGTTTTTCCTTCTTTTCTATATCTTTAATGAAGGGTTAAAAGGATTTTTAATGGTATGTTTGGTCTTTGTATACAAACCCCAAATCTTGTTAAAAATTGTTTAATGTTGGACAGAGACAGGGTCTTGTTAATACCTTTGACTCTTTGGGTCCCTTTATTCCATCTAAATTAATACAGCACCACATCACAGAACTACTACACTATTTAGTCTTATTGGGTCTCTCTAAACAGCAGAAAAACTCAGGACCTTAACTGCATTTCAGGTCAGGATGAGATATATTGGAGATAAGGTAGGAGCAAGATTACTTGGAACATGGTTGCTCTGTTCCTTGCCATCAGATACACATTCATGAAACAAATAAAAATAATTACAAAATTTATCAACTATTTAAAAACAGCCACCACAACTGAAGCTAAGATATACCAACTAAAGCCAAGCTATTGAAAAATTAATGCCTACATTCTGTCTAAATGCATGCCTTAGTGGTGAGGAGAAAAGCAAATGAGGCTTTAGTTGGGCTTTATTTTCTTTATTGATATATGTTAATCTAAGAGAGTTTTGATTTGTACAAATATAAAAAATAATAATTCTTTTTTAAAAACATTGAATTGGTTTCATCCTTCGTTTAACACTGACAATTTCAAATCAGGGACATCAGCGATTAAATTAGACATAGCTATTTATTGCTGGACAGTTTACTAAATATGGTACATTTATTAAAGTACTCTAACATATTAAAATGTATGAAACAGAAATGGATTAACAATATTTAAACTAAACCATAATAGCATTATAGCAATTTAGTTCTATTGCCACTGGAGGTCAG